TGAATTTGATTGCCCTACAAATGTACCTGGGGCTTCTAATGTGCAAACACAAGAGTTCCCTATATACAAGATCAGGATTGAGGACTCTAATAGGGGATGGTAAGAAGAGACTACAAAGAAATAATTCCACTCTGAAGATAGGAAAAAACAACAACAACCACACACGTTCAAATCTTCCTTTGTCACAGGCTGGATGAGGGCTTGGGACAGCTCCACTCATTTTAGGATGGTGTTAGTTTCCTCCTATGTGAGTGAGGGCATTTTCTCTGTAATTGGAGGACAAAGATTCACACAGGGGAATGAGATCACAGCCAGCATAATATCTTTTGATAGAGAAGCTTCCTGTCATCACAACTTGGTTGAACAAGGTACTTCACAGAATAGTTACTGTCTTTTCCGAACAGTGAGTATAGCGAATGGCAAAAAAAAAAAAAAAAAAAAAGATGTAGACACAAAAACCCTAGAACCTTTGGGTAATTCACCAGTGACTGGTTTTGAAAGAGCAACAGTTTTTAAATTAGCATGGTGTGACGATTGTCATTACATGCAGGAGAAAAAGCAGTTTGAAAAATCATCCTAACTTGCGAATAGTAGTGAGTCCTTGAGTTTATCTTTGGGGCTGAACTTTTCAATGAAAAGATGGAATTTGATGCCAATAGGACCGTTGTGTCCTCATCACTTTGAGTAAAACTCCAATTCTTCAGACCAAAAATATAATGATTAATCCAGGTCCTGGCTTGGGCATTTGCTTGTGGGCCATGGGCCATTGTTTCCTTATAAAAACAAGCTCAGGAAGGTACAAAATCCATTAAATCATCAGGGGACAGAATACACTTTCCTGTAGCCTCTGCAGGACTCATGGGTTCAAACAGAAACTGCCTGAATAATAAGAACTTTAATTGAGTATACAAAGAGGTCCTCATAATTATAAATGGCAGTAGGTATAACAAGAGGCTAAATACATAACTGTAGTTTCAATTAGCTGGGGCTTCAAATTAGTAATGTTGGTTTCAGTCAGAAAGCAGTGATGTTGCACATTGAAAGCCTCATCACCATGTAGTTCATTCCTCATTAAACCTCACTGTGTGAAGCTTTTGTTACAATGCCATGCTGAACAAGAAAGGAAAAAGTTGGAACTATGTGATTACCTTCCAAGAGCAGTGGAACTCTATGAAGAGTAAAGCCATTCTCACCAGAGATATGAGAATTAACTGTTCTTTGTTAGATGTGTTAAAAAAAATGTAGCAGGCACTTTTGCTTGCAACAGATAGCATCCGTGTGCACATTCAAATCTGCTATTTAAATTTCTGTCTGGAATTTCCTAGGTAATGAACTGATGCAAAATGTAGCCAAGAGCCTCTGAACAAATCAAAGCCAGGTCGAAAGCTCTGAAATGCCCTTCCTGCTGGCTGCTTGAAGGGTTGTCATACAAGTCAAAGCATGCTTGCTTTTCTTCTTCTTCTTTATTTTTTCCTTCAGGGTTTTAATTATATCTTTCTGACAGAGGAGAAGGAAGGTACTTTGCAAAGCCAAGAGACCAAAGCAGTTGAGTTCTCTTCATGGGCAAATTAAATGTGATCTATAGGCCTGTCATTATGAGCTGTCAGGTGCATGAAATGACTAGATAGCTAGAAAACTGACACGTGTTCACTGTACTTGTAAGCAGCAGACCTGGGTTCTTGTCTACCTGTTGAAAATCATCTCCTAAGGAAGGCAAAGAAATTACAGGTGCTTCTCCTTTGTAACACATTTTCCTTCCACCATACCACCAAATACTGTACAAACTTGTTACTCTATCCCCACACCTCTGATAACTCTTTTCTAACATGGAGACAAATGGATGGGCTTGGATTACCTGTGGCTTATAGGTGATATTGAGGTACAAATTCATGCTGCATGGTTAATGGACTGAAGACATTACTATACCTGCTTGTTTCTACATCAGCCCCTAGTAGAAAACCAGGAGGCACATGACCTCTTTGTGGAACTCTGATGTCAACCTGAGCATCAAAATGAAATGTGATACCACTAAATATAATACCAGTGGGGAGCTTCTTAGATAGCATATAATAGACTAGATTCCATTATTTTGAATGACATCTTTTTTGACCAGGCAGAATCAAAATATAGTGCTGGGGCTTTGAAGAGGAGTCTGAGGATTTCTCTACTTTCCTCATAGAGTAATATCATTTTCTGAACATATACTTGAGTGTGAACCCTTACAGGCCTGGCATTCTTTGTATTCTGAAAGTATAATGTTCACTGAAGCATCCTATAAATGTGGTGGCTATTTTGAAATGGTGGAATGTGTGGTTTTGTTTAAAAGATCTGACTCTCAAAGTCACTTTAAATTTGATAGTTCAAGGATTTCCCTTGAGGAGACAAGATGGTTAAGTGTTGTGATATCACATATTACTCATATATCAATGTCTTACATATGTGTAGATAGTTTATAGCCTTGTAAAGCCATGATACTCAGGAGCAAATTAGTCTATCAATGATAGTTATTATGGTTTCTGATATATACAAATTCCACCAACTTTACTTTTATATCTATTTCCTGTAACTCCTTTAGCTACTATTGTTATTTGCATATTAATTATTGAATCAAGTATTAATATGGTAAAAGAAGGAAAACTGAATTGACAACTGCTAAGCATATTATATTCATATAGAATTTAAATTTTCTCTTGTTGAATGGCAACTCCTTTGCAGAATTCCTTAAAGATAAAAATAAAATTAAAACTTTTTTCTCAGCACATACACATACATATACACATGCACATACTAACTTTAGATAAGTCTAACATCAAGAGTGTAGCCCCAAAAATCCTCAGTGAAATAGAGTACAAGTTGAATATCTCTTATTTGAAATGTTTGGAAGCAGAAGTAGTTTTGACGTCACGTTGTTTTCTGATTTCAGAATAGTTACAATTACAGAGTGAACCATTTTGGGGGACAAGCACAAGTCTAAGCAGGAAATCTATTTCTGTTGCATATAATCCTTAGCACTTGAAAGCAATTTTATATAATAGCTATATGTGTGTCTTCATTTTGACTGTGATCTGGTCATAGTATGTCAGATGGGAAATTGAATTTTTCAACTTGTGGCATCATGTGAAAAAGTTTAAGGTTATTTTGAGTTTCAGATTTTCAAATTAGTGATGCTCAACCTGTACTCTAAGATCTATAGATTAAATGAAAGCTGTTGAATATTAGGAGTAGAAGGGATGGGGAAAGGGAGAGGAAGCAAGGTGGTCAGTTGGATTAAAAAGCTACACGTGCATGTGTGAACTACTCTACTAAAACTCTTTGAACAATTAGCATGAACTGAAAAACAATGAAAGATAGGAATATGAAATAGATCCTGTAAGGGGTGTGTGGACCTACTAGTGGTAGAGAAAGAGCAAAGAAACAGTGAAGGAAGAATATGGTCAAAATACTTTAGGTACATGAATAAAATGGAACAGTGAAACTTGGGATGACTTTTAGAAGCTAGTAAGGAGAATGAGGGTGACAGATGGGGAAGCTGAGCCAATTGAGGTGCATTATGTGCCTATCTGGAGAGATATGTACAACTAATTGATGCCAGTAAAACATGGGAAAATGCTTCAAAATCATGTTTTAATGTATAGTTTTATGTGATTAAAATATTTTTCTTAATAAAGAAGTGTTCCATCTTGGAAGGTTTTAATCCTCCAAGGAGAAAGCCTGAAACTCAATGAACATCACAGAGTTGATTTTTATGTAACATTTGGGCATTAACATCGTTCAAGCCTTCTGATTCATCCTTTCTTTCATTACTAGGAAAGCATTTCAGCCAGGGACTTTCCTCTATGAAGTGTTTCCCCACAGGTTTTTTTAAGTCATTTCTAAGGCAAAGTATCGAAAAACTGAAATAACAACTAAACAAAAATGGGGTGGACACTAAACAGTGTCTCTCTATGTGTGCCATTTCACAAAAGAGTTAAAGGTCATTAAAATCTCCTATGACAATTTATTGAGAGAGGAAAGGCTTAGGACAGAATTCCAGTTTATCTGCATCTCAACACTTCAATACTTTAATAATTCCCATCCCTTGGAACATTGGGACATTTGTAGATTCTGAGCCATAGGTAGTTGGCACACAATATACCTTTAATTCACTCTTTCTTTGCATGGCAGACTGACTTTTGAGGAATGTGTATTTGCTTGTAATAATCAGAAAATGACAAGGGAAGAGAATTACATCATACTTGCCTGTTAATGAGTACAATTTTACTTTACAATTTTTGTTTTCTAAATTACATTAAATAAAGTAAGTCAGGTCAGAGAGACAAAGGGCAGATGTTATCTCTCATAAGTGGAAGTATCTCAATTATGAATATATATGAAACATACATAGACTCATGTGCATATATACAAAAGCATTGGGTAAATATTGTGTACACAAGGATGGTGGCAATGGCATAACTCCTTCAAACAATTAACTTACATTTCAAGAAATTGAATACCAGGAAGCTGAAATATGTGTTACCCGGAGAGGGTGAGGTGAAGGGAAGGAGGGGAGAAAAATGGAGAGAGGAAAGGTGGGAAAATGCTGTCATAATATTCAATGTGCATGTGTACAAATGGAAATAGATAAATTGAGGGGATGGATGAGTTTGGGAGAGATGGGGGACAATGATGAAGGGAGTGGTGAAGATGAAGATGAAGTAATCAAATGGTCAAGATGCATTGCACTCAAAAAGGGACATGTTGAGCTGAAGCCCCTATAAACAGCTCCTTAAAGACAATTTTAACACTTGCAAGAAAAACATTTTCATTGTTTCTTTATTGTAAAGAACTAGTCAGGATCTTGAATTCAGTAGGAGTAAAAAGGATTCTCTGTCCTCTATGAGATATGAACTTGAGTAATACTGACTTGCATTTTCTTCTTATTTAACAATATGAGAGATCTAAATGACTTACATGACTAATGAATCTTTTTTTCTCTTTTTGTCTCTTCCTTTACATGTCAGTCACTACGAACAAGATCGTAGTGCACTTAAGAAAAGGGAATGGGAACGGAGGAATCAAGAAGTTCAGCAAGAAGATGGTCTCTTTTCTTCAGGCTTTGATCTTTTTGGGGAGCCGTACAAGGTAGCTGAATATGTATGTAATTTATATTTCTCAAAAGGCTTGCTTGTTATCATTTTGAACTCATGAATCAACATTTAATTTATTTTTAAAGTACCTAAATCATTTCTAGAGGAAATCAAATGAAAAATATACATATGTTAAACTTGAGACAATTGCAGGTTTCTGAGAAAGTCTTCAGTGATAAAATCCATTTTCTTGGAGAAGCTCAGTAAGATCAAAGGAAACATGTGACACTTCCTGTCTTCAGGGAGCCTTTACTACCCTACCCTTGCTCCAGCAAGGAATGTCCCCTCTATGCTTTCAGTGCTGTGGTTTGTCAGCCCTGAAGACTTCATCAGACTGTCAATGCGTATGCATATTTCTCTTCCCAATGTGTTACAACCATTGCATGACCAAAGATTTCCTTTTCCATATTAGGTTGTTAGCAATTGTTCAATGTTTTGGGTGCTATTTGAGAATCAGTGTCTTAAGATACAGGAAAAAGCTAATCATTTTTACTGGTGACTTCTAATCATGGGTTAGAAGCTTGGCTCGACCAGAGGATGAAGTATAGCTAGGTTGATTTTCTAGTCATATCTTGGCTATTGTGTAGCTCCAATACCAACTGAGAAACTGTTTCTATCTATCTATCTATCTATCTATCTATCTATCTATCTATCTATCTATCTATCTATCTATCTATCTATCTATCTATCTATCTATTGGGGTAAAGTTAAGGCATGATTGTGAAGAGATTATAAAGGAAGTTCTGCTTTTTTTGTTTTTGGTTTGGTTTAGCTTGGTTGTTCTTTTTGTGTCAGTGCTAGGGCTTAAACTCAGGACCTGAGCACTGTCCCTGAACATTTTCCTCAAGGCTAGCATTCTACCACTTGAGCCACATCATCCACTTCTGGTTTTTTGGTGAATATTTGGAGAAAAGAATTTTATGAACTTTGTTGCTTGAGCTAGCTTCAAACCATGATCCTCAAATCTCAGCCTCTTAAAGTAGTTAGGATTCCAGGCATGAATCACCAGCACCCGGTTCTCTGGTTGTATAATAGAAATCTAGTAGTAGTATACTTTCTTTAATGAAAGCATGCATATAAGAAATAAAACAATAGAGAAAATTTTTGCAAATTGAGATTAATAAGTCATTATTTAATGAGGGAGAGCAAATTCAGGAAAAGTTCTTAATGAGGACAGAGTTGGTCTTCAGATGGCTTTGGGGTAGAGAGCCAGTTGTTTGAATTGATGACTACTGAGGCCAGATTTTTGCTACCTTGTTCAGAATAACTAGTCTTGACTGAGACATGTGAGTACCTTCCAAGTTTTGTTACCCTGAAAAGAGACTTATGTCTCTTAACTAATCTGCCAGTTTTCAAACTGTCACTACTACTAGTATAATTTCTAAAAAGATATTTTTTCCAAGCTTAAGTGATCTAATTTATATACTGCTTTTGGATGTGTATATTTAGCTTGCTTGATTAATCATAAGTAGTTAAGTAATTAATATTAACCCAGCTTTGAGCATGTTGAACTTGAATAGCCAGTAGTCATTGGAAAAAGACATTAAGTAAACCTTAGATATATGATCACTCATGGGAGTAGTCAAAAGAGGGATTTTTCTGTTTTGATTATGTAGCAACTACCTATGAAGATATGAGCTAAATACCACAAAGTCAGACAACAAAGCAAGAAGGAAAAACAATTCTGGAGATTGATATCTAAGATAAAGGAGGTGATGAAAAGAACAACTGAGAAAGAAGACCAAAAAAGGGATGCTTGGATTTGTAAGCAGAGAAGTAAAGAAAAGTTTAATAGAAACCCACCCAGTCAGCCAGGGATTTTAGGTAACAAAGATTTGCTAGTTGTATGACTTAGAGAGGTCAGAAAAGGGAAAGACTATATGATGGGTGCTGGATTTGGAAGCTATGAGGAAATCAGTGACCCCAGGCTAAGGCATTTTATTTGTCAATCATGGTCATCATTGTGGAAAGTCAAGTGCTATGGCTAGAAGAATGGAATGGAAAAACCAAAGAATAGTACTCAGTGTCAACTTGATATTGCAGAGAGGTTTGGTTTGGAGGAAGGAAAGAAGAAAAGTTAGAAAGTAAGGTGAGAAATTATATAGAGGGGAGTTTGGGTTTTGGTTTTTTTTTTATTTTGAGTATACCGTACAGAAGGGTTACAATTACATTGGCAAGATAACGATTCCATTTCTTATCAAGCATTGTAGCCTCCTCCTTTGTTTTTAAGTGAGAGAAACATGAGCATATTTAGATATTTATGGGAAAGATCCAATGTCAAGGGAGGTAGGAAAGAGAGGTGATTCAGAGTAGTGCAAGGTCCCAGAGGAGATTTAATGATATACAAGATGGAGAGATGGTTAAGATTCACAAACCATTGAAAAGAGGAAGATGTGGATGGAATGTTAGAGTGACATCAAAATAGGGGGATGAAAGAAATATTGGGGCTAAAGTAAGAAGTAGCCTCTGTTTTTGGTGGGGATCTTAAAACATAATGTACATCTTGTCCATTTTTTTAGGAAGAGACGGAACGCACAGATGAGTTTTACATCCTACCTTTAGATGGATTAAAAAATGAACTCTAGTAAAGGAACTTACTCTTAACACTATTAGGAGGTGGAGAATAATTGGTTTATTTTTCATAATTTTAAAGTAATGATCTTCATACCTCTTAGCCAGGACTATGAAACAGACACATTTATTTTTATATGTTAGTCATGTAACTTTGAGAAGACAGAGACCATCCCTGTTATCAACATGGCTAAAAGTTTCTGAAAGTGATCTGTCTTCATATTCATGTCTATGTTAGGTACAGACAAAAATGGGAATTTTTAGCCTAATGTGGCCAGTCATGTACTACCTTTGTGCTTGTTCATGGGGAAGAGCCTTTGTTCCCAAATCAAAAAAAAGGGAAGGAATCACACTAATAGTTTATGATGTGGTAATTCCCCTTTCTTTCATTCTTGCTTTGATGATCAGTTGCTATCACATGCTATGTCCATGCTCAGTTTTCCCTGGAAGACCACTGAGGAATATTCCTATTTTCACATCATACAATAACATGAAAACTGACTTGTACTTCCAGTGGCCTTTCTAGGCCAAGCCTGTAGTAGATACCTTTGACATATCTGAATATGTCCACAGCAGTAGAAATCGTAAAGTAAGTCTACATTGTTCTGCTGGAAAGGCCTTACCATAAGTCTTCCTTAGAGTTGTAATGATAAAACTTTACAAATTGAAAATAAAAATTCCTGTTGATAAATCAGGACCTTCAGGAAGCTTCTAATCACATCACAGTCCAGTCTAAAACATGGTAATTCCTTATCCAATAACTTCAATAGATCATAAACAAGCCACTGTGAGCAACCAACTCTACTACCTACTGCCCTACTTACTGGCAAAATGAGGCAGTGATCTCTCGTGTGCTTGGATGATTTGTTATTCCTTCTTTGGTTCACCTTTGCCAAAGTCAGTATGGAAAGAATCTTGCTCTCCCCCATATTCCATTAATGGGGATGAATTTCTGTCTGGGGTAGCTTCTATCTTTCAAATTACAGACTGTGCTATGCAGTTGAGAGGATATCTTCAAAAGTGCCTGTAGAAGTATAAAGTCTTTTGGCCTGTTTAGCTTAATTAGATTAGTGAGGAAGAGGAATGAATGTACCTTCGGTGTGCTGAGACATTATATATGTGCATGTTTACTTCTTTAAAAAAGTGGAATACACCTTTCACCTTGTTTAGAGAATTTTAACTCAGAGAAGTTAGGTAGCTTCTTTGAAACTTCATGGTTTTGTACATGATTGATTTAGACTTTTTTTTTGTCGGGTCCGGGCGTGGGGCCTGAACTCTGGGCCTGGGTGCTGTCCCTCAGCTCTTCAGCACAAGGCTCTACAACTTTAGCCACAGCACCACTTCCGGCTTTTTTCTTTTTGATTATGTGGTGCTGAGCAATCGAACCCAGGGCCTCATGCATGCAAGGCAAGCGCTCTACCACTGAGCCACCTTCCCAGCCCTTGATTTAGACTTTGTATCCAGTTCTGTGCTATTCTGTATGTGTAACAGGAAGTTGTTTATCTTCTCACCATACTTTAAAAAACTTGCTAAGGTTTCCTATTTAGAAACTATGGGGAAGAAATTTCATTTCTCTGATCCCTAGTTTACTGCTTTCTAAAGTGAATCATAGCTATTACCACTACTACTAATAATAATAATTTACAACTTGTCATAGCTCAGTAAGAATGATGAAACTGAGATGCAGAGAAATCCAAGTGGCTTTCCCAAGGTCATTTATGGTGTGGTAGAGACAACTAAATAAGAAATGAAGGCTAAAGATATTCATACTCTGACCCATGGTAGCTGTAATGATCAAATGAAACAACCAGAAAAACTTTGCTTTCAAATCTGGAAAGTTCTCTGAAAATTCAGGCTATTTTCCTTATTATAAGCAAAGAGAGAAATAGCAATTTACAGTTTAGAGAGATTAACTATAGAGTTAGAAAAAAAGAATTATTAAATCACCTACTTTAGCCACAATAAAAAAGTAAAAATGAACTTCAGACTTTTAGTCATTTTTCTTCTTTTATTAAAAAGTAGCACATTAGCCTGGTAATGAAATTATTGATGATTTGTAGAAAGCATTAGAAGCAAACTGTGGGAAGTTTGCATTTCCTGAAGTAATGAGAGGCAAAAAAAAAGCTTAAATGAAGGAGTGCTGTTAGTCATGATCCACAAACTAGACATTTAATTTATGCCTGAAAATATTTGGAAAATGCATTTATTTGATGACAGTGAAATTGTGATTACTTAGAAAATAATGGCTACAGAGGTCGCCTTTAAGGAATCAGCCAATTATCTAGAATGGGAATTAAGGAATTTTCCAAATTGAAAAAAAATCCTATAATTGATGGAAATAACTAAATTTCATCTTTGCCATATGTATAAGATGTGATCAAGACTGCCAAAAATACCTGGCTCTTTAATAAGATTGTTACAAGTCTAGAGGACAAA